GTTTGTCGATTGAAAGCTACAATGATAGCGGGGAAGGCCGGGAATGAGAAGCAATGATAAAACCTTCTTGTACGTCTTTTAACAAGGTCCGTGCGCGTTTAGAATCGTTCTGAATAGCCAAAATATATACGATATGACATAGGTAAGGAGAAGCGGAAACTTAAGAAGTAAAGGGAGAATTAAACAAACGAATATATATATATATATATATATATATATATATATATATATATATATATATATATATATGTGTGTGTGTGTGTGTGTGCGCGCACGCTAGTGCCTGTGTATGTGTGTGGGTGTATTCATGCGTGAGTCTGTGCGTATGTACATATTCACACAAATGAATTTTTGCATGATAATATGGCAGTATATCTATGTATATTTATATGATAGTATGAATTTGCATATGTGGCGGGGTTACACACGCATACACACGCGCACACGCACGCGGACACACGCACGGACGCGCATATAGGGTGCAACGGATAAATTGTTGCCATTTTATATTTTAATTTCGCGCATGCACGTTTTTTGTTTCTGATTTTGTCGACTATATAGTAGGGTCAGTTGGGCACCGTCTCTGAGAAAAAAAAGCAACATTATTCAGGTGAGCGAGAGATCAACAAAACTCGTTGTAACACCAAAGATAAACTAAAGCGAAGGATTATGGCAGCATTCACAAACTTAAACAAGGAGACCATTTGCAAGAATTGCAGGTGATTCAGAAATTGTCTGGAGGCCGTGGCTAAAGTCTATGGCGACTTTATTGAATAAATTTAGTTTTCAGTGTTTGAAGATATTTTTCTGTAATTTTGGTAAATATATCTGTTAAAGTGAGATGTCAATTTTGCTTTTATTTTTGCCTAATTTAGGCGCCAATTTATCTATCGCACCCTGTGTGTGTGTGTGTATATATATATATATATATATATATATATATATATGTGTGTGTGTGTGTGTGTGTATTTCGGCAGCATTTTTTCATTAATGCATGTTTCATTAAATAATATACACATGTTTTGTCTATTTTATGCAGATTCCATTCATATCGTCTGATAAGCTTAATAACATTATCACTGAAAGTTACTATTCACTGTTAAACTCTATGTCCATATTCTCTATATCGATAAATGCTTTATATCCGATATTGACCATACTTCCGCTATAAATTTAACAAATTCTATCTATGCTTATATATATATATATATATATATATATATATATATATATATTGATGCATGTTTCATTAAATAATATAGACAAGTTTTGTCTATTTTATGCAAATTCCTTTCATATCGTCATCGTCTGATAAGCTTAATAAAATTATCATTGAAAGACGAACGAAAACCACCATACTGATACATGTTTTTTAATCCTAAGCTTTCGGCTTACATAAGCCATAATCAAAGATGACAATTACATTACAATATATTAAACAATACACGGACATAGCGATAATGATAGCCTGTTTTTGTTTGCATGGAAGATTTCCAAGAAACGACAGACTCATGTTAAGTATGGGAAACCGTTGGTATAAACCAATGGCTTCTGTTATCATTTATAGGCATTTAAGTATATTTGTGGAGTTTTCATAGTTTATTTTGTTCAGGTTAGGTTTCAATTGTTTTATGTATATAGCTTCAAGAATTTTTAGTCTTTGTTTATTGTTTTCATGTTTTTATGTCAAATGTAGAATCAAGCGTCGTGAAAGCGAGTTTATGGTGTAAACACAAATAATAACAAATTTACTATTTCGCCATACAAAAAACCTACACGCATAAATTCATGTACATTATGTAGACGAAAGCTCTTAGATAGGATTAAAAACATGTATCAATATGGTGACTTTCTTTCGTCTTTCAATGATAATTTTAATAAGCTTATCAGACGATGACGATATGAAAGGAATTTGCATAAAATAGACAAAACTTGTCTATATTATTTAATGAAACATGCATCAATGTATATATATATATATATATATATATATATATATATATATATATATATATATATATATATATATATATATATATAAGAATAGATAAAATTTGTTAAATTTATAGCGGAAGTATGGTCAATATCGGAGATATAAATATTTATCGATATAGAGAATATTGACATAGGGTTTAACAGTGAATAGTAACTTTCAGTTTCAAGCCTCAATATCATGTTCGGAAGATCCCATTGAGGCGTGAAACAGACATTTGTCATGCTCTCTGTCTCTGTCTCTCCCCCTCTCTTTGTCTCTCTTTCTCTCTCTCTCTCTCTCTCTCTCTCTCTCTCTATATATATATATATATATATATATATATACCTACGCACCCCACCAAATGTAATTCCGGTCGAGCACTCTTGAGAGAAAGTGCGAATTTGTAAACAATAACTACTACTGCTAATACTCCAAAGCTCTTTCATGAATTGAGCCCTATCGGCCAATGGCGTGTTTACCCGAAGTATAGATGCGTAAAAATTCGCCTTCCGGGAGCTGATAGGTCAGGGGTAAAATCTCCGGCTGATGCTAAATCAGTTGGGTTTCAATCCCGACTTGAGGCAATCGGATGTCTAACACATGAGGAACTGTGATACAGTCTGTCTGTGGATGACAATATATACGCCCACAGAATATTTAATTCCGGTCAAACACTCTTGAGAGAGCTCGAATTTGTAAACAATGACTACTACTACTAATTCTTCAATGAATTGAGCGCTATCGGTCATTGACGTGTTTATTCGAATAATAGGTACGTAAAAATTCGCTTTCTTTTCAACCGGACGCTGATAGCTCAGGGGTAAAATCTCCGACTGATTTGGCATTTCGATCCCGGATTGAAGCAATCGTATATGTAGGCACACTGATGAGCTGTGATACAGTGAAACCGTCGCCCTCTCTATTTATATATATAAACAGGTTTGACATATCATGACGATTTATTTTGGCTGATTCTTAAGATAGGTAAAGCTTTCTAATGAAAAAACTGACGCAACAAAAACTTTCCTACCTCAATTTTCTTAATTTTCTGTATGCTTTTGTTATAACAATTGAAAGTGATTCACAAACTGCTACGGTTCTGTTTGTCTTATTCAAGTGTATTGTAAGAAATATCGGAAAACAAAAGTCGTAATGAAATTATATAAACTAATAACATAATCTTCTTATTCACTATTAATTATTTACATCGAGAACTGCTTAAATTCAATGTATTTGTTCACTCTACTTGCGATCGTTTTATCGCTTCCCCTGTCATTTTGAATGGAATCACAGTACTTGCTTGCAATATGATATTGTCAAGACAACTAGTGAGTGAACAGAGTGCAAGGCGAACTAGATTCTTGCCTTTCTGGATTTAATACCAAATGAATGCAAGGAGCATGTCGAATTTCGAACTTGGTGTGCCAGTTTTTTTCCATGCCAATAACATGCATATATATATATATATATATATATATATATATATATATATATATATATATATATATATATATATATATATTAGTGGAAAATATACATACATATGCAAAATATATAAATACCCATACATGCATATTTTCAGAAAAAAATTCCAAGAGGAAGAATCCAGGTAGAACTCAATGTCTAGGACAGAGTAAGGATATAATAAAAAGGCTTAAACACTAATATTCCATGGTCATAATTTATTCCATTGGAATCGTAAATACGATCCAATTCATCAGACCTAAAAAAAAAAAACAGAAAAAAACCCAACTCCGGAAATAAAAACAGAATTTAGAGAGAGTGTAAGTATGACGAGGAGGGAGATTAAACCTTAACGGAGAGAATTTTAGGAGAGGTGAGTGGAAGGGGTTTAAATAAGAGAAAAGAATGAATGTTGACGGATGTCTAATGCATAAAGATACATTTCGTGGTGACATACACACACCAAAGACAATTTAATGTTAGAATAAGAGGGAGGGAAAGACGAGGTGGGGGAGAGAGATGGTACGAAGGAAAGTAAAAGTAATTTATATATATATATATATATATATATATATATATATATATATATATATATATATATATATATATATATATTTTTAAACAATTATCTAGATATAAAGTTGCTCTAAAGTTGATTAATTCCATAATCTAGTATTCAGGAGTCATGGAGAGGAGTGTTCAGTAGAACTGAAATTTAATTAGCAGGTAGGGTTAGGATGCAAAAAAAAAAAAAAAAAAAAAAAAACATTGACCTGAGTTTATTTCTCTGACTCTCATTGTAACATAACAATAATGTAACCATTGCCAAGTTATCTGCCGCAAGAAAAATGGGTTCTTGCTTTTCGCAACGATTCAGTTTTGTTAAACGTTACCCAACTCATCACTTATATATGGGCTGTCATATAAACTTTTGCTAAACATGTCTAAGGCATAGCATTTTCATTGTCATTTTAATGATTTGTATTGCCTTTTCATATTTACGTGTATATTAGTCCGAATAATTCATGAAATACAGCTCTTAACACCTTGAGACATTTAACAATATAAATACACCCTTTTAAAGTTACATGTGCATATTAGAAAATGGAAGAGAATGTGAGCGCGTCCAAACGTGAACACGTTCAAAACCATGCACATTTTATTAGCACAATCACAGTACGCATGCTCTCACACACAGTTTAGCGCGTGCGCATTCACACACAAATTCCTGCTTATTTAAAGCGCAATTTTACGGCCCTTCTCAAAACTAACAAGTCGAGTGATTCCTTGTGCGATTCGTTCCACCAGCGATGGCTTTAAGCGGGCCAGTTTTCGGTAAACAGCCATCTTTATCACCTGATCTTCTCTCCCGCTCTCTGTTCGCTTCCCAGCCACACGGCACACCAACCCCGTAGCTTTTAGCTCACCCTTCGCCGACTTTCTTAATCAACGGTTTCACCTTCCGGGCACGTTGAGAATAAAGACGTCATGAAATGTATGCAAAAGGCAATGAGAAAGAAGTAAAGATAAAAAAGGAGGAAAAGGATGATAGTGAAGAATTTCAGAAGGAGAAAGAAAGAAAAAAATGGCATAAGGAAGAAGAAGAAGAAACGAATAAGAAAATAGATGAAAATAATAGTGAGCAGAAAAAGAAAACGAAGAAGAAGAAAGGAAAACAAAATGAAAGAAAAAAAATACAAATAGGAGGTAGAAAATGGAAAAATGGAAAGAGAAAAGCTAAAAAATAAAAACGAAAGAAGGAATTAAAAGTGGAAAAGTAGGAGAGAAAATGAGAAAAAAACAAAAGCGGGTGACAGAAACGAAAAGAAGAAAAACATAACGGTAACAAGATGAGAGGTAGAGGAATTAAATGAAGTGGAATAAATCGAAATAAATAGAAAAAAGATGTATTGAAGGTAGAGTAGAAAAAGAGACTACAAAAAAGAAAGAAAAAATTAAAAAATGAGAAAATCCATAAGAAAGAAAAAGAAAGAAAGAAAGAAGACTTTATGGATAAAAGAAATAAAAAAATACGATAACGCGAGAAATTAGAATAAAGCATTAAAACTAAAAAAAAACAAAAAAACAAAACAAAAAAAAACGAAAAAAACGAAAAAGTAAATGAGAAAAATAAATAATGAAAGAAGCCAAGAAGAAATACCGGAATGAAGCAGTCAAATCATAAAAATAATGACAGTGATAATTAGTAATATATAAATGAAGAAGAAAAAAGAAAAAGTAACATATTGTGATACAAAAAGTGAAAGAGAAGAGAGAATAATTTTCTTCTATTGTTTTCTTTTACTTCTTCAGTTTTTTCTTCTTTTTCTTCCTTTTAATTTTTTCCTCCCAGCCTTCATTTTTCTATCATATTACGTTTCTGCTTCAGGTTTTTCTATTCACTTCCTCTTTCTCTTCTTTTATCTGATGTTCTTCTTCTTCTTCTTCTTCTTCTTCTTCTTCTTCTTCTTCTTCTTCTTCTTCTTCTTCTTCTTCTTCAGCATAAATAATGAATAACGTTGCAGGTCATTAAATATGGATAGAGTACGAAAAGAGGAAGATGAGACAGTTTGATAGAAAGTGAAAGAGAGAAATATATTGGCGGAAAGAGAGAGTGAAGAAGAGACAGTGAGAGAAGGTAAAGGAGCCAATTTTATGTTAAGTCTCGTTATTTGCTTCCCTGGTTTTGGATGGTCGCTGATCGTGCATTAATACAAGCATTAGGTCTGCTACTTCGCGATGTGAACGCTTTTCCCGTAAGCCGTCAGAGGGCGCCACCAGCAACACTGCGCTGATAAAGACAGACGTGAGCGCGAACAGCCGTGAACGTTAGCTCCTGCCTTGCTCTCCAAAGTCGAAGCCAATCAAGAAGGTTACCGTGAAAAGCCACATTCTACAGTCTGCTACACAAACACACAATTATCTTGTATACACAGCTGTCTCGGTTACGAAGCTGTATGTTTGTTCTTGTGATAATGCTTAGCTAGCGATGAATCTACGCAATTACATTCGTGTAAACATGTGTGTAAATGCTTTATTGTTTGTGTTCTCATTTTTAATAGATCGATGTGTTTTTTTTTAATTGTTCCGGAAATAAATAAAGTTGTCAAACCGCAAGTTTATATCTCTGTGTGCACTTTTAATTTGCGTGTAATTTATGCGGTTTTGTTCTAAAGCAGTTAATTCTTTTTAAAGTCACGATTTAGAAGACTGAATGATATTGAAGAACAGAATTTTTAAAAGTATTTTATAGCTCACTATATCGTTTCATGAAATATCATACTCCTTCTGCCATTTTTTTATTATCTTTACAAGAGTCAGATTAGGAAAATTGATTATTACTACCATATTGGGGTTAGAACACCTCAATTCTCATTTTCTATCTTTGATAGGGCTCAAACTGAGGGTTAACATTTCTCACTCTACAAACGCTGTTTCCGCAAGCGTAACATTGTAAGCTTGACGCTACTCTATCGTTATTCCCATGGCAAAAGTTCAGAGTATAATCATCCTTATTTCTCCTGTGTTAAAAATGTAAGAAGAAAGTTCCACTCAGATACCTTTTTCTTAAGAATGCCGCTTTGTGAAGCAGACTGCCGCGTGGATGCTTCCCCGAACACTAAAATATTAAGCTCTTCAAGTCAAGTGTCAATAGTTATCTATCATCTATGTCCTCACAATCTCCACCTTGCACCTATATCTCATTCTTCATTCCTTAATACCATTTCAATTATAGCCCTCTACCGTGAGTGGTCCTCGAGTTTTGTATTAAGTAAAATTTTCAAAATAAAAATAAAAATGCTTTGAGATGAAGCATAACCTTTTTTCAGTTTGTGTGTTTTAACGTTCCTTTCTTTTTTAAAATTCTTTATGTATAATATCAATATTCAAAAACTTGGACAAGTATCAGTTAAAACATTGTATTAAAATCAATAATGATGAAGTTAATAACCCACACAATATACAAAATAATGAAAATATACCATTTCGGAATTCCGGACATTTAAGAATATGTATGCCGAAATGTTCTAAATTAATATGAAGATCTGAATTCTAATATAGAATGATGTGACATTTTTTAAAACAATCTCATAATTATTTCCCCAATATTTTAAAATTTTTAGCACCAAAAGTAAAAATTTGGCGAACCTTAAAATTGTCATTAACGATTCCAGTATTGGAGACTTTTTGTTCTTTACTTGAAATTCCTAGCAAAATATGACAAAGAATTTCGCGTGTTAACTTACAAGCAAGGAAAGATTGTTGTGAATGGGGATATAGTATACAACGTGTTCATTCTTCACTGGGTTTGCTAATGTTTTTAGTCTCTGATAAATTAACTAAGATTTTCCTAGGTTGCCTGCCGCAGACAGACAGCAAGCTAGTCTCGTAAACTGTTGTTAATAAACTAACAACCGTTTGCGAAATTAGCTTGCTGTCAGTCTGCGGCAGGCAACCTAGGAAAATCTTTAATCTCCTTAGCTTATTTTATCAGAGACTAAAAACATTAGAAAACCCAGTGAAGAATGAACACGTTGCACATTAAATAGTCTATGGAAACAACTTATGGAACATGAAGTTCCTGTAGACGCCATTAACAGGGCACTCAGTGAGGACTGAACACATTTTCTGTGCAGTTAGATTGTTAATCATCACTGTTTGACAATATTTAAGATTCGATAGAAGGTCACAAAAGTAGGGCACTCTGTGGGAGTCTGACTCATTAGCAATAGTCTACAATACCATATTACTAATATTTATTCAACATATACATTTGTTCTTATTTTCTAAAGTCAGTTTGATAACAGTGAGAAATGAACGTATTTCACCAGTTTACAAACCAACTTACTATTGTTCTACGCTAGAAAACTACAAAGAGAGAGAGAGAGAGAGAGAGAGAGAGTGTGTGTGTGTGTGTGCGCGTGTGTGTATGTGTGTGTTCAAGTGGAAAAGATAATAAAGAACAGAAACTTTTAAAAGAGGGAGGGAGGGAGAGAGAGAGTGGGAGTATGAGAAAAGGATGCGTATTTACCTAAAGAGAGAAAGATAAAGACAGATGAGAGATGAGAAGAAAGAAAGAAAGAAATTAAATAAAAATCTATGCGAGAAGTAAATGTTGAACAAAATATTGAAAAAGAAAAGACAGAAGAAAAAATGGAGGGAAGAAAGTGAAAGTAAGTGGATGAATGAGTCGGTAAAATTGTCTGATTGAACGCCCTCTGTCGGCCGGATCGTATCGTTTAGAATGTCTTGAATATTCATGAATTGTTGAATAAGTCGGTTCGGGCAATCGCTGAAGTATTGAACAATAAATAAATTGACTGTGATCTACACCGGAGCAAACGAAGAGAAAGAGAAAAGAGGGAACTTAGAGAGCACAGAAGAAAAGTGAACGCTGAAAGATTAACGAAAAGACAAAGAAATGTGTAAATTAAGATGGCGGATAAAGAGGAAAACGGGCTTCATCTTGGGAAATAGTTTTTACAGATTACGCTTAGAGTAGAAAGGAATCCTTGGGCAAGAAGAGAAAGTAAAAGGAAAAGAAGAGAAAGAGAGAGATAGAGAGATCGAGAGAGATAAAGATAGACACTGGCAGAGGGAGAGATAGAAAGAGAGAGAGAGAGTCTGGCGTGAAGAGAGACAAAGAAAATGATGGATAGTAAAAGAAGGAACGATTTTGAACAAAGAACATAGAAGAGTAGAGGATGAAGAAGAACGGAAAAACGATTAAGACGAGAGAAATACGATGGATGGTAAAAATGGGGATAATTTTTAATAAACAACAAAGAAAGAAACTGGAAATCAAGGAACTGAAAATAAAAGAAATTAAAACTAAAAGTAGAACGCAAAGAAAGAATGGTAAACAAAGGAGAAGAAAGATAGAACCAAAACGCAGATGTTAAGGAATGAAAATGAAAGGTTTGTTCGGATATGATTCAGCCATTAACAAAAAGGTAGCCTGTCTTCTTGAAAATACTCTCCTTGGGATCTTACACACTTATCCCATCATCCTTTCTCTTTCTCAAATCTGTCTGCAAAGTTCTCTTTAGGGATTGCCATCAGCTGCCTCATCGCGTTCACCTTAATATCATCTACTGTCTGAAATCTCCTTGTGAACGGCGATGTTCGCTTTGGGAAAAGCCAGGAATCGCAAACATTCAAAATTGAACTGTAGAGAGTGGGGCTTACAGGCCTGTGTAATGCTATGTTTTTCTTCCAAAACTCAGCAATAAATGTAAAGAATGGGCAATAGAGGTATTATAAAACGCTGGTTACTTTTCGGACAATCCGTGGAATCCATTCACCAAATTCATATAATTGCAGCCCGCAGGCGTTCAACATTTTCGGATGCTTTGCTTGTTATGGAAGGCACTAAGTGACGTAATTCTTAGGCCTATTAAACGTAAGTGAATTAATATTGTTGTTTCTGATGCTTTATGCCTTATCCCTTCAGGAAGTAGGCAATCACGACTCTCCACAATTTCCTATCCTTAGTAGTTCTTTTCTTTTTATGATCTCTCCTAAACCTTGTTCCTTTATTCATTTACTCGAGGTCTCTAGGTAGATTTTACCTTGTTTTCTTCTGTCTCTCTTGCCCCATCAAATTTTCCAAGCCCCCTTTCCTCATTATTTGCTTTAGAAATTTCAAATGTTTCCTTATGATGTTAAGTATAAGTGTCTTTTTTGTTTCCATTTTCTCTAAAACTTCATCGTTGCTCACATGTTCAGTCCATGGCATTCTTAGCATCCTTCTGTAGAACCACATTTGTGTTACTTCAAATCTCTTCTTCATTAGTGAGGAGATTGTCCTGCATTTACTATCATATACGAGGATGGATATTACAAAACATTTAAGTACATTTTGCTTTGTTTATAACGAAATTTTTCTGTTTTTTAATATTTTACTTAGCATTTGGAAGCTATCCTAATTCGTCTTCTCATTTCAGTGTCACACATTCTGTCCTTTGTTAAAACACTTTCCAGATATTGTTGTACTTGCTTGATTTTCGTATCTCCGATTTGCATGTTGGACTTTTTGCTAACAACCATGCATGTGGTCTT